CGACTGCCTAGACGAGTCCCTGCAGTTTTCATGGCAAGGTGTTTTGGAAGTGGTTTGCCATTGCCTCCTTCCTAGAGCAGAGCCCAGCTGGTGAGTGCAGGAAGGCGGGGTTTCTGTTGCTTCACGTCTTTTTCGGATGTATGCGACTTCCGTGTTACTGTCAACTGGTCCCATCTCCCGTGCAAGGCGCCACCAGCATTTTTCCTCCCACCAGGATGAGAGTACCCATTTATCTACTCACAGAAGCTTTCAAGCTGCTGGGTTGGCAGAAGCTGGGGATGAGACAGGAGCTCACTCTGCTGCATGGAGCTGGGCTCAAACCGCTGAAGTGTCAGCAACTTCCAGTGTCATTAAGCCGCTGCACCACTGCGTCCCTAATAAACAAAGTCTATACTTACATGCAGTGTCTTCAGCCTGACCAAAAAATCCCCCTCATAGTTATATTGAATCCTACCAAATTATATTGTTCTACCTCTACTGCTGTACCTGCCCCCACCAATGGCACAGTGTTGACAGGAAACCAGAGATAACATTCTGCAATGTCCTCAAAGTGATGCATCCTCTCTAGTCTCTCCCCACTTAGAAAACCAGTTATTGTTGTTTTCATCTCCTTTCAGTTAATGGTGAAGCAGACATTCCAGCAAGGTCATCTGTTTTCAGGGAAGTTTACTCAGATAGACTGCCTGCTATGTGTCCTTTTCTGTTCATTGAACAGAAGGCTTTTTTGCTCCCCCTTTGTGAAGAAAGAAAGAGGAGCCAGAACTCAGCTACTAGTTGAGTGGAACTTGCTTGCCCTGAGCTATTATGCCGATATTAGTTGTGGTTGGGATCTGGGGCTGGTGAGATTGAAGTGGGGAATCATAGTTGGAATTTAAATGATTTGCAAATGGGGCAGATGATGGTTTGATCTGAGAGGTTTTTAGGCAGATCCAACTATTCTTACCATTACAAGTAACTATATATTATTTATTTGTTAGATTTGTGTCCAGTCTTTACTTCAGAAGTTCAAGACAACAACCATAATGCCCCCTTCTCCATTTTTTCCCCCAAGAGCAACTCTGTGAGGGAGGGTAAGCTGAGAGAGAATGACTGGCTCAAGGTCACCCAGGGAACCTCTGTAGTCAAGGGTCAACCTCAACCTGCTCTCCTCAGTCCTCGTCTGAACCACTAGACCATGCTGGCTGTCCCATAACAGGACCTGGCACAAAATGCTACAGGATATTCTCCCACCTAAAAAAGGACTTCTGCGTGGGATTCTACCCAGCCATTCTCTTTGAATTAAGCCACCCCTTGCATTCATTTTTTCCAACACACCTTTTGTCTTTTCCAAAGTGACACTCAGTGTTTCATAGTGAGTATAGTCAGGATTCACTGTGCTTCTACATTTTTTTTATTTTTCAGGAGCCTCCATTTTGGTTATGTTTCTGTCAACATTCACTCATTGCATCCATTGTTAGGAGGAAGTGTTTTTACTGACATTTGTTATGGATATGGAAGTGGCCATTTATATCCCAGGTTTCTTTCTTTTTGTAGTTTCAGTAATTATTTAGCAATTTCATAGCTATATAGCTATTGTTGTTAGGGAAATTTATTTCCTAGGATTATTATTAGTTGTATAGTAAGAAGAGCAGCAGCAGCAGTTCTTCAACATAACTAGTTATATATCAGGTCAAACCACAATTAATTAAGAGATCCAAACTGGAAAGGCCTGACTAAAGAGGAAACTCATGGCTTCTTTCCTGAAAGCAGAAAAAATGGGAGGGGGCAAGTGTGACCCCCCCAAGAAAGCACATTCTTTTGTTTGGAACAATATAGCTGAAAGTTGACTCTTATAAGTGTGTGCTTGACAAATCAACCTCAGAATGCAAGGGCAGCTTTAAGAAGACTCTCCTGCTGTTATTAATATCTGCATGGGTTGTTGAGATCTGGATCTGGATATGATAAGTCTGTGGAGTTCTTGGTGCTCTCTAAGCTTGGTTGTTTGCTTACAGATGTTTCATTATCCAACTAGGTAAGATCATGTTACCTAGCAAGCAAACAACCAAGCTCTGGAAACACCAAGGATTCCACAGTTCAACCCTGAGCTACAGATATTCTCTTCTATGCGAAGTCTCTATATGATAAGAAATCTATCACAGGTCCCAAGCTCTTCAGTCTTTAAAAGTTAGAACTTCTATCCAAGCTTTGATCAGTATACAATCATTACTAACTAATCTTATAATAATTTTTTAAACCTAAAAATTCAGTTAGATAATACTAAGATATTTATTGATTCATGCAAAGTACTGATAATTATGAGAACTGCAGTGTCAATGCATCTGATGGGGGAAGGCCATATTATACTTGCTTAAGACCTGTTTTGGTCACCACGTAAGGTTGTTTGAAATATTGGTGATTAACAGTGATATGCATTAGACCGCACTAAATTTCCTCCAGTAAGTTCCCTTTGTCCATAAACAGGAGAAAAAAAATCCTGCTTTTGGATGACAGTTTGGGATTTATGCTGACTGTGATGAGGTCAGCATCTTGATGATCAGAAATGGCACGTTTTCTAGTCCCACTCTGTGACACACTTTGCTTGCAATATAGTATTCTCCAGCAGCAGGGCTCCACATCCTTGTTTGGAATGAGAGTCACAACTGATCTTTTAGCTGCCTATTATGGGGTGGAAAGTAAATGGGATCAAGACAAAGTAGGACACAAAAGGTAATGTTCAATTTAGTTTAAATTTAATTCCAGTTGAAATATATTCTGTATATTTAACACATTTGCTCCCTTCTGTTACATAACATTGATAGTTCAGAAGCAACTTTTGGAGGGGGTCTACAAGACACACCCAAAGTTTTAGTTTTACAGACCTATCCAACCCCATTAGGTATTCTGGGCACAATCCAGCAAACATATGGGCAAAGAGAGCCAATCTTCATGTTACATGCAGACCTATGAATTAAATAATGAGTACAGTTTCTGTGGAAAATAACTTCAAAAGGTGGCATTTTTCAGGGAAAATTAGATAGGTGTTGTGCTTAATTTTTTGAAGCTGCAGCTGCCCTTTCAAGCTGCCTTTTATTTTGCAAGATTCTAGACTTGGGTTTGTGTAGGGAATTAAATATGTTTTTAGGATCCCACAAAGATGAAACAACCTTGAGGAAGGAGAAATATAGTATAAGGAGGAAAGATTGTGAATTTGAACATAGACTCATGACTCTGAGTTGAAAGATTCAGTCACAATTTCCCTGGCAGGAAGGAACCATATGCAATTCATATTTGCGCACATTTGCACATTAGATCCCTAAACCTACCAGAATGTAGAAGAAAAATGTTGAGGAAATCCTGGTTGGAACCCTCCAGTTCATTCACTAGTAAGCATACTAGTGTGAATAGAATAAGTCCATTGGATGTATCTAGAGAAAGATGCTTAAGGTCCAAAAGGACAAAGGGAAGTTGATGAGGAAATACTTACTATGATAGAAAGGCTGCATTTCTGAGCTCCCTGTCTTCATGTTAGATGGAAGGAGAAGAAGCTACTTCTTTTGTACATAACGGGTTGTAGGGGAGTGTCAGTCCTTCAAGGAACCAGACAGGAAACCAAAACCATGAGTACTAACACTGCCTTTATTATAAGGTTACAGTAACAGAATCGTGCAAGTCTGAAAGCCCTTCCCTACTCCCCAGCTTTACTTTCCAGAGAACTAGGGAGGGTTCCTTCTGAGACAATTTCTCCAACCCAATTTCCTCCTTTGGACTCAGATGTCTCTTATCAGACCATTGTCTAGGTTGCGACTCTTCCTCCTGTCTCCCAAGGTTATTCTCACAGCCCATTGCAGGAGAGCCTGGTCTTCCAGTCAAAGGAAAGGAGGGGCAGAGAAAAAGAAAGGAACACAGAGGGAGTCCCTTGCTTGCTGCCTCTATTACTAATGACCTTAATGATCAGTAGGAAAGCAGGTGCAAGGAGAACATCAAATCCCATAGAGTTACACCACCTAATGCCTTTATCAGGTTTTTCTTCACATATTCATAGAAGGCATGGATGGTGCAAACTGTTCCCTAGCTGTCCATGGACTGACAGGAACTTGCAACTAATGTCCATGTGTACAAGACACTTTGCGATTAGAAACCCTGAAAATAAGATTCAGCACCCTGTCACAACCTATACTGAGATTCTCTGTATGCCATTCATTGCACAGATGTGTTGAAAGCCTGCCCTACTAGTCATTGAAAGGATAAGTGAAACTCCATTGATTGTAATGGGACTTAGCTGCAATCATTTCTGCAGATTTTGGGTTAAGGGGGAAGTCTAGACCAAGGAATGTTTACCTTAGTTTTATTTTTTTTAAGTACAGAAAACATCTGTACTTATTAGACAACCCTGTGACCCATTGGGTCATCCTCTGAGAGAAAGGTAGTGCAGTCTGATGTGACCAGAATGAAAATTAAATTTTAGGCTGACCATATTTTTTTTATCCCCATGCTGGATGGTTCCATGATGATCTAAGAAGAGTATATATCATAAATAGAAAAATAATTGT